TGTGACTTCTATTTTAGTGTTCTAATATTTGACATTTCATTTATCAGGTGCGGTCAGCAATAGCATCATGGTCACAACCGTCCAGAAGTAGGACAGGGGTAAGAACAGGTTTCCCTGTCATGGGTTTCATGTTCCTTTTTTCTTTCCTTTCTTGTTAATCAGAGCTAATTTGCTTCTTGTTAATATTGTTTGATTTGATTTTTGTTTTGTTTTTTTAGAGCACAAGTGCTGGAAACTCAACATCAAGTGGACTTCGATTTTTAAGGAACTGGAGACGTGGAAGACATGGAAGAGGTAAAGAACCATCAAGGAAACCGTCAACTTAATTTCTATATAAAAATTAAGTGAAAGCTGTGTGTTTTTAGGTGTGCTTGTACTTTGATCAGGCCGTCCAACAGGGAAAATAATAATTGGATGCATTTCGCATCAACACATACAAAATGTCATTTAAAAAAATGTTATTTATACAATTATTTTATCTGCCAACAAAACTACAGATTCCTGGTGTCATTAATTGTTGTATTTTTTTTGAATACACAACAGAATAACTTCACTTTTTTTTTTTTTAGATGGCTACCAGATGACATCCAGTGCATCCAGTGATTTGCATTCGGCTAGCAACACATAATGTGTGCAGAAAACTGTGGTTATTCAGATAACCAACAAGAAGTCGCCCCCCCCCCTTTTTTTTTTTTTTTTTTTGCCATATTTGCAATAAGTTAATCTGTGATGGTTTTATTTATATCTTAAATAATATTGAATCCTACAAGAATCTGGCATGATTTTGAAGAAAATTAAATTAAGAAAAACTTATGTGATTGCTACAATATTTTTGAATGGCATAATAAATGTTGGAATTGTAATTATAACTTTCAAAAAATATTATTCATCGTTTGATATATCCAAGTACAACAAAAAGCTGAAGTTTACAGAAGGTTGTCAAATTATATATATATATATGTGTGTGTGTGTGTGTGTGTGCTTTGTAAGTATACAGGGGTTAGCAGTTGGATATTGTACAAAAGAAATGGCATTTAAGTACAGTATGGAGTGGATGGAGAGCAGAGCCTGTGACTCTTTCACTGGTTCACCACTGGCCACATTTTTTAAGGAAAAAATGTTCCCTTACTTCCTAATATATCCCACTTACTAACAGG